TTACTGGATTCTCAATTCATTCCATTGAGGTATATTTTTATCATTTTGCCATTACCACTTTATCTTGATTACCATAGCTGTGTGGTAAGTTGTGAAATCAGAAAAATGTAATTCTTCTAAATCTGTTATTTTGCAAGATTGTTTTGGCTATTCTGATTCCCTTGGATATTCATATGAATTTTAGGGTCAGCATGACCATTTTAGCAAAGTACAAGTCAGCTAGGATATTTAGAGGGATTGCATTGGGTGTATTGCTATCCTGACAAGAAACTTTTCAATTTATTATCATGGATGTAGTTTCCATTTTTAAGCCTTACTTAGTTTTTTTCATCAGTGTTTTGTTTTCTACAAAATGTATGTTTTACACTTTTTTAGTTAATATAATTTTAAGTATTTTTGATGCTCTTGTAAATATAAACATTTTCTTGATTTTATTTTTGGTTTGTTCATTGCTAATAGATAGAAATACCAATTAATTTTTATGCATTTATATAATATCTTTATGGTTGCTGTGTTTCTTGTGTGTGTGTTGAAAGTGTTAGTCATTGAGTTGTGTCCAACTCTTTTCAACCCCATGGACTGTAACCCGTCTAACTCCTCTGTTCATGGAATTCTCCAGGCAAGAATACTGGAGTGGGTTGCCATTCCTTTCTCCAGAGGATCTTCCTGACCCAGGGATCAAACCCAGGTCCCCCCGCATTCTAGGCAGCCTTTTACCATCTGGGGCACCAAGGCAGCTTATTAGTATTCTCCAGAGAGGCCGAATATATCATAGATAGATAGATAGATAGATAGATAGATATACATATAAAATCATTGTATATATCATCAATGTCCCAGTTCAACCACAAGAGACACGTTTATCGTTTCTCCACCATTTTATGCTATTCAGGTCCTCAATGGATTGTATGTTACTTACCCACATTGGGTAGAGCAATCTACTTTACTGAATCCACCAATTCAAATTAATTTCATATAGAAACACCTTCATATCCATGCCTCAAAGTAATGCTCAACCTAAGCATCCCAAGGCACAGTCAAATTGATTCATAAAATTAAGGATAACAGTGCTAATAATTTTTAATGGAATTTATTAGGATTTTCCATGTAAAAGATTATTTTATCATTTGTTGTTGATTTGCTCAGTCATGTCTGACTCTTTGTGACCTTATGGACTATAGCATGCCAGGCTTTGCTGTCCTTCACCATCTCCCAGAGCTTGCTCAAACTCATGTCCATTGAGTCAGTGATGCCACCTAACCATCTTGTCCTCTGTTGTCCTCTTGTCCTCCTGCCTTCAATCTTTCCCAGCATCAGGGTCTTTTCTAATCAGCCGGTTCTTCACATTGCATTAGGTGGTGAAAATATTGGAGCTTCAGCTTCAGCATCAATCCTTCTAATGAATATTTAGGATTGATTTCTGTTAGGATTGACTGGTTTGATCTCCTTGCAGTCCAAGTGACTCTCAAGAGTCTTCTCCAGCACCACAGTTCAAAAACATCAATTCTTCGGCACTCAGCCTTCTTTATAGTCCAACTCTCACATCCATACATGACTACTGGAAAAACTATAGCTTTGGCTAGACGGATCTTTGTTGGCAAAGTAGTGTCTCTGCTTTTTAATACACTGCCTAGGTTGCTCATAGCTTTTCTTCCAAGGACCAAGCGTGTTTTAATTTCATGGCTGCAGTCACCATCTGCAGTGATTTTGGAGTCCCCCAAAATAAAGTCTTTCACTGTTTCCATTGTTTCCCCATATAATTGCCATGAAGTGATGGGAACAGGTACCATAATCTTTGTTTTTGAATGTTGAGTTTTAAGCCAGCTTTTTCTCTCTCCTCTTTCACTTTTGTCAAGAGGCTCTAGTTCCTCTTCACCTTCTGCCGTAACAATGATGTCATCTGTATATCTGAGGTTACTGATTCCAGCAATCTTGATCCCCGCTTATGCTTCATCCAGCCTGGTGTTTTGCATTTTGCATTCATTGTAAGTGGAAATAATTTTACTTCTTCCTTTGCAATCTGAATAGCAGTTACTTCTCTTGCTTGTCAAATTATCTGGTAAGATTTTCTGTACTGTGCTAATTAGAAACACATCTTTTGTTCCTGATCTTTGGGAGGAAGCATTCAGTTTTCAGCATAAAATAAGATGTTAGCTGTTGAATTTACATAGAGGTCCTTTATCAGAGAATAAGTTGATTTGTGTTTGTGGTTAGTTGTGAGTTTCTACCATGAGTTGTGTTGGAGTTTGTCAAATGCTTTTCTGCATCTTTTGAGATGATTGTGTGAATTTTATTTTTTATTCTATTGATACAGTGTATTTGGCATAATAAATTAATCTTGCATTTCTGGGTTAAATTAGATATGTATACTTTGGAAGTATTTGTTAAGAATTGATATACATATTTGAATATTTTATAGAATTTATCATTTAAACCAAATCATCTTCAAATGCTCTTTTAATCAATTTTGCTATTTAATGAGTTTTTATTTATTAATGGATGATGTAATATCTTTGGTTTATTTTTTGTTCATGCTCTTTCTATATGTTTAAGAGAGTCCAATGTTAATTTTTGAAAATTAAATTTTGTCAGTTAAATGCTTTATTATTGGTCCTTATTAGTGATACTAACATACTGTCACAAAGATATTGGTAAATGTGACCAAATTTAGAGAAAGAAGCAGATCTTAATCTTTTGAATTAAGAGTAAAAGACATACCTCGTAATTTTAAAATGGACTGATGAAAAATCAAAACTAAAGAAACTATATAAACAAAAATCATTGGATGAAGTATAAAGAAAAATCTAATGGGCTTGCTGTCTACTCCTAATTATAATGAAAAGAGCTTTGTGTTTTTTTTACATTGTGGTATGTGCTATAACTGAAAAATAATATCATAACAAAATTTTATAATCTATTGAGTAATGAACAGTAGGATTTCATATGAAAGTATACCTTAGTACTTAAGAGTATATAGCCACAATATGGCTTTGGATTCTGACTCTGCCACTTATATACTGTATGATCCCTTGGCAAATTATTTACCCTTTATACTTCACTTTCCTTATTTATAACTTGAATCTCATAACACATTTCTACTAAGTATTCAGAAAATGTGTATTGAAGAGGCATTTACATGTTAGATGTGACTGTTGATTGCTAAGTAGACACTGAATAAGAGAAATATTGTTAATCCACCTTGGATGCTGTTAAAACCATGTGTTTAGATCTATTTTTAAATGTTTCATTCAGTTATGGAATGTCAGTTTGATTCTTTTTTAACTAATTATAATATTATGATTGTATTTTTATTGTTTCATGTCTTTTTGCCTGAATTTTTATTTAAAATTTAATTAAAGGTTTTATATGCTAACATTACATTCTGTATCACCTGTGGGTCTGCTTCATTAATTTATTTTTTATCTGGTTATCAAAGATTTAATTCTATCTTTTTCTCATGCCTAGAAATTTTTTCTTAAGTGCTAGATATATTAAATAAGATGATTGATGTTAAAAACTTAAAGATCTGGTAAAGTGTCAGAAATGTAGCACAGAGTTAATAAATAGTAAAGATTATTGCTATTCTTTATTATCCTCAATATTTTATCTAGGAATTTGTATTTCTGATTGAAGTTAGTCGTGGAAGTAATGTATGTTTTCAGAGACTTTCAAATGTACTTTAAGTAAAAGCTGAAAAAAATAAATGCATCTATTTCATAGTTAAGTACATTCTTCCTTATCTTCTTTTAAAATGTATTTTAGAGTATTTTTGTATGTGAAATGGACAAAGAATTTTATTACATTTCACATATTATTAACATATAACATTGTATAGCACGTTTGTTACAACTAATGAAACATTATTAATGTGTTATTGGTGGTTGTTTAGTCACTAAGTCATGTCCGACTCTTGCGATCCCATGGTCTGTAGCCTGCCAAGCTCCTCTGTCCATGGGATTTTCCAGGCAAGAATATTAGAGTGGGTTGACATTTCCTTCTCTAGGGGATCTTCCTGACCCAGGAATCGAACCTGGGTCTCCTGCATTGCAGGCAGATTCTTGACTGACTGAGCTATGAGGGAAGCCCAATATGTTATTATTAACTAAAGTTTATATTTTCTTCAGATTTCCTTCATTTTTACTTCATGTCCTTTTTCTGATCCAGGATCCTCTCTAAAATAACAGATTACATTTAGATGTCACATCTTCTTGGGGATCTTTTGACTGTTACAGTTCCTCAAAATTATCCTTATTTTTGACAAAATACTTAACAGCTTTGAGGCATACTAGTCAAATTCAATTTTAAATTTTCATGAAAGGAACACATGTCTCTGAAATGTTCAACGTATTGTTCATCATTCAGTAAAAGTGATGTATTTGTATTATTTATGAACAAGTAGGATTCCAAAAATTCTTAATGAAACGAAAAAGATTCTCAACTAGTCTAAAATAGTCAAATGTGTGGAAGGGAGTGATGAGTGATGAACTTAACAGTCTAGTCTTGTATAATGAATTTCATTTGCATATTTGGTTAATAGGTTGTTAAGGATGGTACTCAACACAAGAGTGTCACAATACATAGTATCCATGGCCAAACCAGATAAATTGAATGGAAAGAGAGCCCTGGCCACCCTTCATATAGTTACATGGAGTATATCCTGAATTACCAGAGCATAATTTTTTTTTCTTTAGTTTTAAGGTTTAGGTTTTAAGCCTGTTCAAGCAATCTACTTAACTAACTGTTGTTAAAACTGAAAGGAAATATTTGTAGCAGGATAGAATTAGATGGTCTACTTTAAATTCCAATTTACCAAATTTCATTATTCATTATTAATATATATGTATTGGATACGTGTATATTTTACTATGCTAACTTGATAGCTTCTGATGCTAAAGACTATTATAACCTCTGCATCTTATACACTGATTTAATAGAAAAAAGCCATCATAATTTGAATGTTAAGAGGTACATTGTTACATAAGAACATTTTATTTTTGCAGAACTATTATGGAGCTGCTAGGATGATTTTTTCTGACAACCCACTTGGTCTGACCTGTGGAATGGTATGCCCCACCTCTGATCTTTGTGTAGGTGGATGTAATTTGTATGCCACTGAAGAGGGACCAATTAATATTGGTGGATTGCAGCAATATGCTACTGAGGTATGTAAGATGTACAATTGTTTTTTCTATCCCTGAAGCATGAAAATCTTAAAATAACTTTAATCCTTGAAGCTTTGTTGATACCCAACATTTTTAGTGTGATATACAGCTACAGTTTAAGTATTTTGTGCCATAAACGATGTTTTTATTCAACGACTTGGCTTCAAAAATGAAATTTCTAAAACCATATGTCAAATTAATTATAATCTCAGAAGGTTATTAAAATACTTTCACTGAAAGTTATATAAATTGGAGTATCTGAAAATAGAATTTATTCATTAACTTTACATTGGAGTGTGGCTAGGGGGTCCCATTATGGAAAAAAAATAAAAACTATCTTACTTAACTTGTTCTTTTTCCTGAAACCATCTTTAATCTTCACAGCTTGAAAGAATACATCAGCATTCTTCTACAATATATTTTGAGTAATAGAGGTTATAGAATTATCAAAAACCCTCAAACTGAATAATATTTTTTAACATTACATTTTGTGAACCTATGGATTGAAAGCAGATGTGTTTTTTGGATGCAAATTTATAATGAAATAATATGAAAACATTTTGTCCCTATTTTTCTTATAAATTTGGGCCATGTCTTTCTTTTTTAATGAATCCTTTTTAAATGACTTTGAAGCTCTGGGACATCTTATTCCTTCTGGGGCCTCCTTTTTGCAGTCACTACCAGTCAATTCCTATGTATCATTTAAATGATCAGCTTATATGGAGGCTACAGTAGAATTTTGTAATCCTTGGGGTCTGTTTGGCTGGAAGACCAAATTAAACAACCTGTCAACACTAGATTTTTAATTGATGACTTCTCTGTCTGATGTTGTCAACTCAAACACAACATATTCTTTCTTTTTAGGACCCTTCTCATAATATCCCTCAAGCTTAAGTCTTACTTTGCTTTTAGTAATAAATCAGGTTTTTATTCCCTTCCTGCTTTCTGACAGGTTAATTCTAAGGAAGGGCTCCTGGGAGTGAGAAAATAGAAACAATTTGAGGTTGTGAGTTGTTGCAATAAATTCTTGGATTTAATTTCTTTTCCTACCAAATTCAAAATTGCATTAGTTTACCTGACCAGTGCAAGGTATGATCTTTACAACCTGAGACAGTCCCTAGTTGATGGAGAAGATTCACTTTAATTCTTCCACATTTTTTCTTTGGGGACTCATTGTCTCTTCATTAAAACGGGGCAGGCTTGCAAGGATGTAGTAAGTAAAAGTCACACAGTATCTATATAAGCTAGCACTGCATTTCAAAGCAAAATCAGTAAAATAATGATATTTGTCTGTGGTTTGGACTAGAGAGGGAGGGAGGAAGGAGAGGGGAGAAGGGGAAAAGAGAGAGAGGAAACAGTGAAGGGGGGTGGGAGAGCGGAGAGAAAGGGAAACACCATTCCTCCGAGAACTCTGTTTTAATGGGGTTGCAGCTCTGTTTTCCAAAGCAAAGTCTATTTATTTCAGACATAGCATAGATTAGGATGGCTATTAGATGCATTTTAAGAGTCTCATGCTCAAAAAAAAAAAAAGAGTCATGGAATTTAGATAGGAATGTATCTTCTTATTACATTCCATTTATGCTTCTTATTACTGTGGCTTCAAATATATCTATCAAATTATAAATAAAAATCTCCCAGTGGAACTACAGGGGAAGGCTTTTCATTATTTTTGTTTTTTAAGTTGACCACTTAGGGCAATTTATTTTAGAGGAGTTCTGTCAAAGGGTTGTTTACTTAAATTTACACAACTGTCAAAGTTGTTGTGAATGTAAGCAGTAATGGATTCATAGATATAGGAAAAAAACTTGTGGTTACCAAAAGGGAGAGGGAATGGGGGTAACAAATTGGGGATATGGGATTAGCAGACACAAACTGCTATGTATAAAATAGAGCAGCAACAAGGATATATTATATAGCACGGGAAATTATTATTTTAAAATAACCTAAAGTGGAGTATAATCTGCAAAAATACTGAATCACTATACTGTGTCCTGAAACTAGGGCTTCCTAGATGACTCAGTGGTAAAGAATCTGCCTGCCAATGCAGGAGACGGAAGAGATGCTAGTTTGATCCCTGGGTTAGGAAGATCCCCTGGAGTAGGAAATGGCAACCCATTCCAGAATTCTTGTCTGGGAAATCCCATGGACAGAGGAGCCTGGAGGGCTACAGTCAGTGGGTTCCAAAAGAGTTGGACATGACTGAGCATGTACACACACACATAACCTGAAACTAACACTAAATCAACTCAATGAAAATAATAAGCATAATGCAATGAATTAATTGACTGCCACTGTAAAGAGTATAACTTTAAAATACAATTCTAAAATAAAAATATTAAATAATGTTATAAATAATAGTATGCAAATACCATTACTCTTTCAAACTACTAAACTATTGATAGGAGTATTTAAGTAAAAGCTGAACATGATGCAAATACTTTGATGTTTGTTTGATAAAATAATGATTGATTTTTGACTTTCAAAGAATTATAAATCTATTTTTCAACCAAAATAAGCAAAGGTTAAGAGAGCAGACTACAATAGTATGGTATTTTTCAAAAATGTTTTTCCTGTAATTTATATGTGTATATATTCCTATAATATCTATGTGATATTTGAAATATCAACTCTATAGTCTACCTTTAAAATTTAAATCCATACCTTAGATTATACCTTTCCATTTAAACATGGGTGTATGATTTAGAACATGTAATAGAAATGTATGTAGTATGTAGTAGAAAAGGAATAAATCACATAAAGGAGAGCATGAGGAGGATCAGGAGACCAGCTACTTTAACTACTTTTGTTTCATCCTATATTGTCAATCCTGTGCTGTCGCCACAGCCCCACTGACTTTGCTGCATACGCTTTTGCATACATGTGAGACACACAGGCTGCAGAGTAATTCCAAATCTCTCTAGGGGGCAGTTTTTTCTTAGTTCAGTTAAGTATAGCAATAGTGCTTCAAATAAATAATTTGGAAAGAATAGCTTGCTGTGGATTTTCTTATCAATTTCATCAGGGTCTTAAAACTTCTCTACATAGATATAATACTTGAAATTTTTATTATAAAATGTCTTTGATCATTTAGTTGACTTCTTAAGAAATCATATATTTATCACATTTAATTAACCAACTAGACTCTCATTGCCTCTCAAATTTAACTAATGAATTGCTGCAAAAGGATAAAGAAGAATGCATCTTTCTACGCATTTCCCAAAGTTTGAAAAATAACTATAAATAGAGAATTAACTGCATGTCAAATCACTTCCTTTCCAGTGATGTTAAAGAGTTTTAGAAACAATTTAGAAAAAATTCCAAGGTTCTAAAGTTTGACTTTAAATCTTAAGATGAATGAGGCTCAGAGGATTAGTACTTAAGTTGCTGCCTCAATTATGAATTTTTAGGAATACATTAGATTATGAAATTGGTATCAGAAAACAGTACTTGTTTTTCACAGTAAATATTCTGTGGGATTATATTAATACCCATTAAACATACTGTTTTACATGGCATATACTCCTTGCACTGTACTTTGAGTTTACTTTTTATACTTTTGGTTAAGAACAGAACTGAGTTATTCTTTAGATTTTTCTTTAACTATATTTTTCAGGTCTTTTGTATCAGCTCTCATTTGAAATACCCTATTTTTGTCCCATCATCATATGCTATTTATACACTATCATTTGCTATTTGAATTTATTTCTATATTTTATTGAATAGGCATAATTCAAATCAAATTGACCAGTGCTTATAACATAATAAAAAATACACTGATATAGTTCAAATGATTGGGTATTATGAGGCTACATTAAGAGGCTACATTAAGTAAACTAGTAAAATTATTTGAATGACATCAGCATGTTTTGTTAAATGCTGCAATCAATAGTTTAAAGAATTGTGAGTGAAGAAGGAACATGATTACTTGAATTAGTGATTATTTTAATAGGACAGATATTCCTATGGTATCTTCAACTTGAACACAGAGTCACTAAAAGCTTTAAACTTTTGATTTCTACAGTTATATTGGCGGAGGATATAGAGACACGTAATAGGATATTATGTCTTTTTTCAAATAATGTATTTTTGTGATGCATCTTCTCATCTATCAAATAGATAAATATAGAAGAAGAAAAATTAGGGGTAGTCCTCATATTAACACCAACTATTGCAAAAAAGTGCATAAACTGAAATGTGAGATTAGGTATACTCTGTGTCTTATGTCAGTTGCTTTATAAGTTAATCATGCAAAAGACTGAAAGAGTGAATGAAAACCCTGTTAACAATTAATGCAGTGCAGCAGAAGCAAACCGGCACCATCCCAAGAAAACTGGCTTCTATGAACACCAAGTGTATTATTACACTCCCAGTAGGTAAGGATTTAATTAATCTAACAAACACTGATTGAGCATTGATTAGAATTAAGCATTGTTGTAGGCTGCTTCTACATACTACATGTCCTGAAATTCCGTAGTGACTTGATAAGACTTATGCATTGACATTAGCATCTTTAGACTAATAATCCAATCTCCATTAATATTCTTTGACTGGTTCCGGAGGTGAGTAGACCTTAGTACAAAAAAACGGGATCAGATAGGGGAAAATGTAGTCATAATACTGTATACTTGTATAGTGCCTCAATGCTGTTTTGTAATATCTCATTTAAAAATATTGATAACCATTAAGACGTGTAAACTTGCTAATGTTCTCCCCATTTTGGGCTTAAGGAAATGAAGGATCAAAATGCTTCTAAACTGATAGTTAATTAGACAAACCCCTTTCGCCCTGGACAATGTTAGGTAATGTACTTAGAACTTGACTGATAACTCAGAATAACCCTCTAGATGAATGTTATCATCCTCATTTTATGTATGAGTAACAAGAGGCTCTGGAGAAGACAATGGCACCCCACTCCAGTATTCTTGCCTGGAGAATCCCAGGGACGGGGGAGCCTGGTGGGCTGCCGTCTATGGGGTCACACAGAGTCGGACACGACTGAA